CGGTCGACTACGTGGGAGTCCAGCGACATAGCCATTACGCTAACTGCTGGTCCCCACATTTATTATATTTTTAAAGATTTATTTAATTTTATTTTATTTATTCATTCGTTTATTTTAATTTGACCAGAGAGAGAGAGAGAGGGAAAGTGAAAGCTACCAGGTCCAGGACTTGAACCGTGGTCAGCCATGTGGGAGTGTCCAGTACCTTAACCACCACACCACCTGCTGGTCCTACACATTTGTTAGATTTTGTTTGATATTGTCCTGTGGCTCTCTGGTGCTATATTGTGTTTTACTTATTGTTTAGGTTTGGATAATTTTTATTGACCTGTTTTAAAGTTTATTGATTATTTCCTCTGATGTATCCATTCTGCTAATAAGGTCTTTAAAATAATTCTTCCTTTCCAATATTGTGATTTTGATTTCTAGCATCTCGTTTGGCTTTTAAAATAATTTTCATCTCACTGATAAAATTTTTCATTTGTTCTACTTTTCCCAGTAGATTACTTAACATCTTTGTAATAGTTACTGTAAAGTCTCTGTTGAATAATTCCCACATTTGAGCAATCTCTGATTTAATATATATATATATTCTTTTTTTCATGTGCCTTGCAATTTTTCATTAATGCTGGACATTGTCAGTGAACACACAGTAGAGACAGACGAGTGATAGTTATGCTCAGAAAACAGCCTCTTCTCTTGCCAGGCTACTCTAACGAGGTTTGAGGCAATCTAATCTTTTATTTTTATGGTAGATATAGGCTTTATTGTTGCTTTAGCTGCATTCATTGCAGCATAATGCAGTCCTTTTCGGGAGTTTGTCTTACTCCATAAACAAAAGATTATTCACAGGCACTTCCGAGGCTTAGATAATTAATAATAATATTTTCTGATGGCCAATGGTCCTTACCCACATTATACATTCGCCAGACAATATGTAACTGCAACAAAAATTAATATGTTTGGCTCATATCTTCTTCCACCTCTGCTCCGCTTCTGGTAAAGAGGGCTAGTGGGAGATGAATGGGCAGCACGAGAAGGAAGAGAAACTAAGGTCCTGGATGAGCTGTCCCCTGAGTGCCCAAGAGTGGGACGGTCCAGCTTGGGAGTGAAACAAGGATCGAGCCCTAGCGGAATAATTAGAGTGTAAGAGATGAAAGGCAGTGCAGGTATGAAATGTCTGGGGTGGTTCTCAAAGATAAAAGCTTCATCTGTGGGCCTGCAGCGTGCCAGACGTGCGGGAGTCTGAGGACACAGACAGGAGAGGTTGGAGGAAGCCTCACGAACACCATCAGTGCTAAGTTCACCACTTCGGACTCAGAGACCTTAAAGGTCATATACCCCAGAGTCTCCACACTCTGTTTGGAATCATCTGTATGCATCGGTAAACATCCAACTTCCTGGGCTCCGTATCTGGAGGCTCAGATTCAGCAGGTCTGGGTTGGGCCTAGGAGTCTACAGTTTCAACAATGTCAGACATGATTCTAGAACATAGACTAACTGAAACAAACTCCTCATCTTTTTTATTTTAAGAGAGAGATTTTTGCTATAGGGCACGTGTGCTCACCAAAGAGACAGAGAGAGACAGAAAGCGAGAAGTCACCCCGTAGGGGGCTGGCCATACCACAATCCCTTCTTCTCTCAGGATTTTGGGCATGCATGCACGCACGCCTGGTGTGAGTTTTAAGCCACCGGGCCTAGGACTCATACCATGGTAGACTACGTGGGAGTCCAGGGACATAACCATTATGCCATCTGCTGGCCCCCAAACTTCTCACCAATAAACAAAGAGAAAGGGGTTGATCGCACAGCTTGGTGACACAGCATGGATGGCAATAAAGCCAGAGTACAAACTGCACAATGACACAGCGGCAGTAGCAGGTGTGCTCTGTCTTATGCTCTTCACGGCGTCATTCATCACACTCAGTTCTCTGGCAGCCTATGGGATCGCCATCATTAGCATTGTACCCATTTTAAAGAGGAAGAAGCCAAGGCATTCAGAAGTTACATTTCCCTTTTAAATTTATTTATGTCCTTAATGGGCAAGAGAGACAGAAAGAGACAGAGAGATAGCACGCCAGCTGGCTTTTGGTACCACAGTCCATCCCTGGCTTTAGCCAGCCCCAGCGCATGGGCATGCGAGCGCACAGGATATGCGACAAGATCTCCAGACATGAACCTGAACGCCTCTCACGGGGGCGAGCCTTGCGGAGCATCATGTGTTACCCGTGGCAAACCTGAGCCCTGTCTAGCCCCTAGAAAGGTCACATGCTTGCCTACGGTTCCACAGCAAATAATGGGTTATCAGCAAAGTCATGAGGCAGCTTCTGTTTCTCTATGCAAAAATGCTTCACGACTTTTCCGACACCCGGATAAATGGCTCAGATTTGAACTCCAAAGGCCTTTCGCCTCTCCGCACATCAGTTCTCAGGGTTTTGCCTAATACTTGCATGAACTGTAACTGCAGGCAGAGTCCAGGACGGGAAGAGCAGATAAGTGGCTGTGGGTCTCTTAAAGGGCTTCAACTAAAGGCAAATTGCTTCCTATTTACGATTTCTCTGGGCAGAGAATGGTTAGCTATTTCCAGCGTCTCGAAGGCGGGCTTCTCTGAAGCCTGTGCTGTTACCAGCTGAGTGGCTTCCTGCCGCCAGTGTAGGTTTCAGCTGGGAGTTTGGCACCAGCCTTGGGGAACTTAGTGAGACATGACCGGCATCGTATCCTCAAGCCAGAATAAGTGCTCACCCTCTGGGCGATGATTCCCTTTCTCCACCTTCTTTTCGCCAAGGCAGGTCTTTGTGTACCTTAGAAAAGAATGTGAGTCAAAGGAGCAAAGCTTTCATGACTACTCAGCCTCCCCCTCGTGCACCCGCTCTCCTAAACACACACAGCGACACGCGCTCCCTAAGGTACCATTTGTCTGATGAACGTTTTAAAAGAAAATTTAATCCCTTGCGACTATCGAGAAAAGCGACTCTACTTGAAGGCATTTCTAAACCCATCTGAAAATGGATGCATGAGATTGGGCTGCCAGAAAGGAAAGCCCGTGCAGGGCCATCGACTGTGCACGTGGGGAGAGCACGCTGCACTCCCAGCTGCGGTCCTCGCGGGGTTCGCCTCTGCAGCTGAAGAGTGACAGGGCGGGCCAGGCTTCGGTCCTAGCACCACTAGGTGATCAGCTGATGATTACTGCCCTCATTTACAGGTGACCCTGGGTCATCAGGCTTAAATTCATTGACTCAGGACCAGCAGATGGCATGATGGTTATGTCACTTGGACTCCCACATAGTCAACGGTGGTTCGAATCCCAGAGCCGGCAACTTGAAACTCATGCTGGGCATGTATGCGTGGATGCACAAGATCCAGAGAAGAGAATGAAGGAGAAGGGATTGCAGCATGGCCATACTCCCTGGGGGGGGGGGTGATTTCTCACATTCTGTCTCTCTGTCTCTGTCTTTCCAGTGAGTGCACATGCCCTATAGCAAAAATATCTCTAAATTTTAAAAAAAAAAAATTAATAAATTCATTGACTTAACTTCTGCATCCTAAATCTTTCTATCTCCCCAATGGAATATCTTATGAGGAGCTCGGAAAGACCAAGGAGCACAGTTGGGATGTGGTTTGTTCCCTCCTAAAGGTCATTTCCTTTTTTTTTTTTTTTTTTTTCTTTTTTTGGAGAGGTTTTTGCTATAGGGTGTGTGTGCTCACCAGAAAGACAGAGAGAGACAGAGCGATAGAAAGCGAGAAATCACCCCCCAGGGGGAATGGTCACGCCACAATCCCTTCTCCTCCATCTTCCTCTTAGGCTTTTGGGCACGCACGCACACATGCCCGGTGTGAGTTCAAGCTACCGGGTCCAGGACTCGAACCGCGGTTGACTACGTGGGAGTCCAGCAACATAGCCATTATGCTAACTGCTGGTCCCTCCTAAAGGTCATTTCCTGCAGGACAGATCCTCAGTGAGTGATTTCGGCATGTGAGAAAGGCAGTAACTCTCCTGGCTGACCCAGTTGAGAACATCGAAGTTCAGAGAGGTTAGGTCATTTGTACGAGGCCTCACCAGTGATTAGTGGTGCTGGGGTTCAAACTGTAGTCTAGATCACTCCGAGAGCCCCCGTTTCCCTCTGCTGCACTAGAGGCTTGGCGAGTGGGCAGGATGGCCTTCGAGGTGTGGAGCAGGGCTTGAGCGAAGGCGCGGAAATAGAAATGCAGGTGGCAGGTCAGGGGTTTGGAGGAGACTGCTGGCTTGGAGAGAGGACGGGAGCATAGACAGTAGGAGAGTCGGGTGGTTGGGTTCTCACCAGAGTCTGCGACGGTCTAGTTGTCAGCCTCTCTGAGCTCTGGTTTGGCTGCTAAGTGGGACCTGCCTTTTTGAGAGGAACGAAAAAGAAAATGTGAAAAAGCATCAGCACCGGGCAGAGTGCCCCCCTCCCATGAGCTAGTTTAGCCCTCTATTGATGAAGGAGCGTAGGAGGCCCGCCGCCCTCTCGGACGGGCTGTGCTCTAGCACTCGGGGTGTGTGAGCTTCTGCAAGCCTGCTGCCTGCCTTGACGTCCTGCTCTGTCCCCACAGGGTGGGAGAATGTCTATGGCTTTGACATGACCTGTATTCGCGACGTTGCCATGAAGGAGCCCCTGGTGGACATCGTGGACCCAAAGCAAGTGGTGACCAACGCCTGTTTAATAAAGGTCTGGATGTCCACCCTGGCTGGACCTGGGCATACTGGAAGCCAACTGTGCCACCGTGGAGAGCCGGCTCGGCACGGGCACATAGCATAGACAGCACCACCTCCTGCCTGGGCCCGGCTCAGGGAGGCAGGGCCGGCTTGGCCAGAGCCTGTGGCACCCATAGCCTTGAGCACAGCTGCTGGGATGTGGACTCCACAGTGGCACAGCTGCAGGGAGGGAGTCGGTGCAGGGGCCTGGTGCCATAAGAAGGGTGGCACCAGAGGGGAGACAACTTGCGGGCAGGTGGATGTGGCCCGGTTTGGGGAAGTGGGTCCATGCAGGTGTGATGTTCTTTTCAGGAAGGAAATTGACACCTGGGTGCAGTGCAGCCTTCAGTTCACCACCTCCAGGCAGGCTCCCGGCATCCCCTCCAGAGCATTGTCGTTTGTACATATGCTAGACATTTCCTTCCAAACGTCCTCCTGTGCGTGGGATGAACAGCCGGCCAGCAGCCTCCCCCACCAATCTTCAATGCACCCTTAGTATTAAATATCCAGACAGGTCCCATGAAGTCAAAGAAACATACCTTGTTAGGTAAAATCAAAGTACCCCTCCTTCCAGCTCCATGCCTCCCTAGAGTCAGCACTGTTCACAGAGTGGGTCAGCCCCTCTGGCCCCTTTCCTATATATACAGGGGGACTTCAGACCTTCACAGAAAAATGGAATTAAGTGACAAATTTATTTTTTGTGGGGAAAATTGAAATCCGCATATTTTTTTTTTTGGAGAGGCTTTTGCGATAGGGCGCGTGCGCTCGTCAGACAGAGAGAGACATAGAGACAGAAAGCGAGAAATCACCCCCTGGGGGGGGTGGTCACGCCGCAATCCCTTCTCCTCCATCCTCCTCTTGGGATCTTGGGCACGCACGCAAACGTGCCTGGCGTGAATTTTAAGCCACCAGGTCCGGGACGCAAACCGCGGTCGACCACATGGGAGTCCAGCGACATAGCTATTATGCTAACTGCTGGTCCCTCATCATATGCATTTTCCATGAACGGTTTGAAATTCCTCATGTTATATTGAACCATATGAAACCATTGTTTTTTTGTTTATTGTTTGTTTTTGCCATAGGGTGTGTGTGCTCACTGGAGAGAGACAAAGAGACAGTGAGAGGGAAAGTGAGAAATCACACCCCAGGGAGATGGTCATACCACCATCCCTCCTCATCCCAGAAAGACATCAATTTCATAGGTTTGAGCCTGGTCTGTAACTCAAACGGTGGTCGGCCACGTGGGATCCAGAGCCGTAACCACCACACCACCTGCTGGCCCCAATTTCAAGTTTTGCAGTGTGGGCTCCTTATGTAGGCGTTCCTAGCACACCTATCTCTCACCTTGCTGAAATGTTCCTGTCTGCCTGGAAGTATTGGGAGGGGGGCTGGAGCACTTTACAGCGAGATGAAGGAAGAAGGTTCCAGGGCTACCAGAAACGAGGGGAAGTTTTCCAAAGACGGGTGCAAACTGTCTCTTTGCACGCATGAGAATTGTCCTTGGTCCCTGGACACAGCCTTCCTAAGGAGAACCCTGAACTCTGGTCCAGAGCATCATTGTAGAATTTAGACAGGGCCTCGGAGGGCAAATGAAACGAGATGACTCTGCAGGTCCCGGCAGAGGCTTTCTCGTCTTTGGAGCACCGTGCCTATGAGGTTCGGCTTCCAGTCTAAGCCTCAGACCCTCCTTCCACGGGTCCCTGCTGCCTACTAACTCAGCGTGTTCTGAGTCCGGGCAGGACGAACTGTGAGCAAACACGTCCTTTAAGTTCTTCCTGTTAGACCTCCTGTTCCTAAAGACGCCTCTCGGTACCCCAAACAAGAAAAGGGAAGTTCGCCCCAGTGAGAAGCCCACCCATAGCACAAGCAAGGTTTTGGCAAATATGGTAGAGTAGGGGGAGTTGCTGGTGCCATGGAATTTGTCAGGTGATACCTGGCAGTTCCGTCTACCCCTGGGCACCTGCACGTAAGCGCTTCAGCTTGGGGGTGACATTTCTTCAAGATTCAAGGACCCCAGGTCACTTTCTGCCCCGGTCCCAACTAGCACCTGGGGACGTGGCCACTGTGCCTCTATTCCTCTATTGCTACCTCATGCACTGGCCTGATTCTATGTCCCTAGGCTACACTGGTCCCCTGCCTTCCTCTCCCTGCTCCCAGAGGCACAGAGGTGCCAGCAAGGTCTGTCCCTTGGTTACACCGACCGTTCTGGGGCAAAGCAGCCAGCTCACCCAGGACCCTGACTTGCCGTGGAAACGCCTGGAGCTTGGATGCCTCAGGACTCGCAGCCTGCTTTGGAGCTTGCCCCCTGCCCGCCCGCAGACTTCTCCCGCCTGCGTTCCGAGAGGGATGAGGCTGTCTGTGGCCCAGGGGGTCCTGCCTCAGCGTTCTTACGCTAATGCGCTAGCGTCTCTCCCAGCCCTTGGGAAGACGCTTGCCCCCCTTCACACACTCCATTGCCGTTTTCATGGCTATTACCGTTGCAGTGTGACACTTTATTATAATTAAGACTCTGTTTGGACCAGACTTCTGCTCCTAGACATCATTTGTAACGTTATTTAGTGGTGGGAATAGCAGGGGCCAGGGGACTCATCTAAGTCATTCATGCAGGCAGAGCCCTCTGCTTTACAGGGTCGCCTACGGCCAAGTCGCGGGTCCCTGGGGCCCCGACATCAGAGATGTCCTGGCTGCGAAGAGAAAGAAATCTTCCAGCCAAGGGGTCCAGGCCCAGGCCCCGCGATGCTTGGGGCTGATCCGTAGACTTGGGGTCCATGGCGAGGTGGGGCCCTTTGTGTCTCAAACCAGCAGAGCTAACCTCAGCCCTGCAGAGGGACCCAGCTAAAGGACCAGCCTCCATCACTGCCTGTTAATGCGAGCTGTGTTACTTCCGGCCTGAGGCTCTTCTGTCAGAGCCCGTTGCGATGCCAGTGTCTGCAGGCCCAACAGCGTAAGAGCTGCACTTGGCCGATGGGCTGAGACTCTGCAGAGATGGGGTACCTGCTGCACGGTGTGGGGTGCGTGTGTGTGTACACGTGTGTGCGTGTGCATGAGTGTACACATGTGTATGTGAGTGTGCATGTGCACGTGTATGTGTACACACATGTCCTGATGTGGTGAAGTGAGGCAAAGGCCGAAGGAGAAAACAGTCTGGTCCAGATGGGAAGCCAGGGGGTGTCGCTGAAGCGAGTCGCCCCGGGCCCTGACTGACATGTCTGGACGGACCTGGGAGAGGCAGGCAGGTGGTGGTTCTGAGAGAAGGCCGGGAAGAGCAGGGCAATCTTCAAGCAGAAGGACCCATCCAACATGTGACCTCACATTGCAGCGTTCCGGGTGCCATGTCGTGTGGAGGAGGACTTGCAGATGGTGGCGACCCAGTCTCATGGCAGGGCAAGGGTGGAGGTGACAAGTCTGCTGAGTGGGCCAGAAGTAGGGTGGAAAGGCCAGGTGTGTTGGAGGCAGGGAGGCCCAAGAGAGAAAGGGACCTGGGTCCCTTGGACAGGGCCTGGAGCCTGGAGTCTTGCCAACCCTGACTGGGAAGGAGATGAAGTAGGCCAGTGTAGACCCTGAGCCCAGGGGCACGCCATGATGTCACTGAAGACAGAGGGAGCCAAGGTTGTCCTAAGGCTTCTTGAGGTGAAGGGAGCCTGGGGACACGTGCTGGGAGAGGGATGACCATCCCCAGGGCCGGCAGGTGTCAAGACTGAAAGGGTTCCCAGACCAGAACAGTGACCCAGGGCTGTGGCGGAGGGAGGCGGGCAGCACACCCACACACAGGACCAGCCGGCATGTGCTCCCGATTGTCCCAGACACAGAGGGTGAGGGACTGACGTGGTCAGTGTGACACTCCGCTGTGAAAGGCAAGGGGCCACCCAGAGGAGAAAGGCCAGGTTGAAGAGAGCCCATAAATCACAGCTTACAAGGAATGAAAGAAAAGGCAGAGGTTTCAGGAGCCGTGTGAGCAGGGGCCGGTGTCTGGTTTATCCTGAGGGTAGGCATTGCAGAGTCGGACTCGGGCTCTTGGTTTGCTCTGAGGAAGGGCCAGTGAGTGCAGCTGTCAGGGCTTGGGAGAGCTGCCTGGCAGCCAGTGAGCCGCCCCTCGTGCAGGTCCAACAACCCGCAA